TGGTGCTCAGGGGCTCCGTATCCAACAGTGGAACAGCAAATGTGTCTTTTCTTTGGGTTAGAGATGAACAGAGCCCTGCTGCCGGGGTGAGTGAGATATTTGTATTTCTTTCTATACCGTTTGCTGCGGCTCAGTGTTTTACCTGATAATCTCTCTTTTTTGTTTCACTTCCATTGAGAGTAGGATGTGTTATATGGTTCAGATCATGAGGCCTTCCTTTACATCGCCAACCTGGTAGAAGGAACATACCTGTTCCAACTCCGGGTCTCGGATATCCAGGGCCGCTCAAGCATGGCTACAGCTACTGTGGAAGTACGCCCTGGTACGATATTACTCAATCATAGTAGGAAAACAGTTGCTAGATGTTCAGAATGCATGATTTATTTGGCATGTCGTACCTGCTAAGAATACACTACCATTTAGAAGTTTGGGGTCGGGGCAAATTTTTTATGTTTTTATGGTTTCACCAACGTTGCATTTATTTGATCAAAAATACAGTAAAAAAACCTGTGATATTCTAAAGTGTTTATACAAATTCTAATATGAACATTATTTTTGTGGAAACAAATTTTAAAAATTTTTTCAGGATTCATTGATGAATAGAAAGTTTAAAAAGCATTTATTTTATTCTTTTGTAACATTGTAAATATCTTTACTGTCACTTTTGATTAATTGAATGCATTAATAAAATGCTGAATAAAAGTATTAATTTCTTAAAGCTGCAATCTGTAACTTTTTTGGGCTAAAAATGATCCAAAATCAATTTTTGATTAAGTACATAACTAGCCAGGGTCCAAAACTATCTCCTTACCTTAGCCCGATTCACATCGGTAAGCTTATAATAATGTTTTCTAATTTGAGTGGTACTGGTCGGAATTTGTGGGAAATTCCAGCATACCGCGGTGTCATTATGCCACGTCGGTAAACATAAAGAAGTTGTCCCGGCTAGTAGGCTATGTCGCATGTGAGGATCCTGCAGGTGGCGGATCGTTTATAGCCTTTTCTCACAGCAGCTGGAATAATTAAATTTATCATTTTTATTGCGGATTGTAATCCAGAAATTATTATGTGTTTATGAAACACAAGTGCCTGAAATTAGATTATACTCCAGTTTTAAATGTGCATCTGATTACAGATAGCCTATGTGAGATTACACAATATTTTTTTATTTTAAAGAGAACCAGTTCTAAGGAAGAATAATTTGCTCTTTGGGTTAAAAATAAAAGACAATTAGAGATTACTGTACAGAAATTGATATCTACACGCTAATACACACTAGCTACATGCAGTGCTGATGTTGTTAACATTAACAATTTGAGAACAAAGTATAACAGTAATAATAATTTGCATGGTTTGAAGTGATATGAGCTAATCTATTGTACCCTTGGCAGCGCGATTTATTGTAATGCTTTTTTCCTCAGTTGGTCAGAACAAAAGTGGCAGACTTGTTCAGATGACAATATCCAGTAAAAATTCATATTTGGGGCATACGTCCCAGACGTAGGCTAGAATCTGTGATTCCGAAGTACAGTATCCACACCGGTGTGGTGACTGACATCGTGCTGGAGCTGCGCCGACGCACAACCCACGCAAAGAAGATAATTCTTCCAATTGCAGGTTTCAAACAGAGATGGCGACAAAAAGGCAAAACTTACAGACTGCAGCTTTAAAAAAAAAAAAAAAAAAACCTAACCCAAACTTTTGAATGGTACTGTATTTCAGAATGATGTTATGCTTAATAATCCTTTTCAGGATATTTTTACTTTCATGTAAACATTTTAGGTAGGATATTCTGATATTGTCTTTTTATTTTCTATCAATTTACAAATTGCTCGTTTGATGCCATTGATATTTGTGTGCAGATCCACGCGAGCGAGAGGAGGTGGAGCTTGAGCTGCAGGTGGGCATGGCTCAGGTCAGTCAGCAGCAGAAGGAGACAGTGGTGAGACAGCTGGCCGCATTACTACATGTTCTGGACTCAGACATTGCACTGAAGGGCCTGCATGGCCAGTCAGAGGTAGAAGGAACATACCTGTTCCAACTCCGGGTCTCGGATATCCAGGGCCGCTCAAGCATGGCTACAGCTACTGTGGAAGTACGCCCTGGTACGATATTACTCAATCATAGTAGGAAAACAGTTGCTAGATGTTCAGAATGCATGATTTATTTGGCATGTCGTACCTGCTAAGAATACACTACCATTTAGAAGTTTGGGGTCGGGGCAAATTTTTTATGTTTTTATGGTTTCACCAACGTTGCATTTATTTGATCAAAAATACAGTAAAAAAACCTGTGATATTCTAAAGTGTTTATACAAATTCTAATATGAACATTATTTTTGTGGAAACAAATTTTAAAAATTTTTTCAGGATTCATTGATGAATAGAAAGTTTAAAAAGCATTTATTTTATTCTTTTGTAACATTGTAAATATCTTTACTGTCACTTTTGATTAATTGAATGCATTAATAAAATGCTGAATAAAAGTATTAATTTCTTAAAGCTGCAATCTGTAACTTTTTTGGGCTAAAAATGATCCAAAATCAATTTTTGATTAAGTACATAACTAGCCAGGGTCCAAAACTATCTCCTTACCTTAGCCCGATTCACATCGGTAAGCTTATAATAATGTTTTCTAATTTGAGTGGTACTGGTCGGAATTTGTGGGAAATTCCAGCATACCGCGGTGTCATTATGCCACGTCGGTAAACATAAAGAAGTTGTCCCGGCTAGTAGGCTATGTCGCATGTGAGGATCCTGCAGGTGGCGGATCGTTTATAGCCTTTTCTCACAGCAGCTGGAATAATTAAATTTATCATTTTTATTGCGGATTGTAATCCAGAAATTATTATGTGTTTATGAAACACAAGTACCTGAAATTAGATTATACTCCAGTTTTAAATGTGCATCTGATTACAGATAGCCTATGTGAGATTACACGATATTTTTTTATTTTAAAGAGAACCAGTTCTAAGGAAGAATAATTTGCTCTTTGGGTTAAAAATAAAAGACAATTAGAGATTACTGTACAGAAATTGATATCTACACGCTAATACACACTAGCTACATGCAGTGCTGATGTTGTTAACATTAACAATTTGAGAACAAAGTATAACAGTAATAATAATTTGCATGGTTTGAAGTGATATGAGCTAATCTATCGTACCCTTGGCAGCGCGATTTATTGTAATGCTTTTTTCCTCAGTTGGTCAGAACAAAAGTGGCAGACTTGTTCAGATGACAATATCCAGTAAAAATTCATATTTGGGGCATACGTCCCAGACGTAGGCTAGAATCTGTGATTCCGAAGTACAGTATCCACACCGGTGTGGTGACTGACATCGTGCTGGAGCTGCGCCGACGCACAACCCACGCAAAGAAGATAATTCTTCCAATTGCAGGTTTCAAACAGAGATGGCGACAAAAAGGCAAAACTTACAGACTGCAGCTTTAAAAAAAAAAAAAAAAAAACCTAACCCAAACTTTTGAATGGTACTGTATTTCAGAATGATGTTATGCTTAATAATCCTTTTCAGGATATTTTTACTTTCATGTAAACATTTTAGGTAGGATATTCTGATATTGTCTTTTTATTTTCTATCAATTTACAAATTGCTCGTTTGATGCCATTGATATTTGTGTGCAGATCCACGCGAGCGAGAGGAGGTGGAGCTTGAGCTGCAGGTGGGCATGGCTCAGGTCAGTCAGCAGCAGAAGGAGACAGTGGTGAGACAGCTGGCCGCATTACTACATGTTCTGGACTCAGACATTGCACTGAAGGGCCTGCATGGCCAGTCAGACATCAGGTACTACACATACGACAACCAAACCAAATCTAAATGAGAACTTGTGTGGTTCTTAAATTAAGCTAATCATCATAATTACTAGAGACTAACCCTAGTTTAGTTAAAGTCTACATGTGTTTCTTGTGTTTAGCACAGTATTTAGGTTCTCAGTGCAGGGTCCTGATGGTACATTTCCAGGGCCTAAGCTCGCTCGTCTGCTGAGAAACCAGCTGTTGCGAGAGAAAAGTGACTTCTTGCTCTTTAAGGTCTTAAGAGTGGACACAGTTAGTAAGTGACTTTTATATAATAAATAAAAATGTTGGCAATGCAGTCTTTCTGATTTTAACTTTGGTTGTGAATATTTCAGTGTGTTTGCTGCTGTGTTCTGAACGTGGTCAGTGTGATCCCATAACAAAGAGCTGTTCCTGTGACCCTCTTTGGATGGATAACCCCATTCGCCGCTTGCTTGATGATGGCGAGAGCAATTGTGGTTAGTATGACCTATTTGTCTCCAAATAAATTTTTTCATGTAAATGAGAAATTTCAAATAAGATAGCAGCAGGTTCAGTCATAAGGTGTGGTACATGAAGAGATGCTTCATGCAGCGCTATACTACTGACAATAGACCGTTTTTGCCCATGAAATTTTGCCTGAGTGCTAATCTTCTGTCTCCTTTCGCAGACTGGAGCGTGTTGTATGTCACAATCTCTTGTTTCGTGACAATAAACTTTCTGAATGTTAATGTGCCGGACTAAAATGCACTCATTTTGTTATGGTTTGTCAGTATTTCAATCTTGGCCCTGATACTGTACATTGGTCTTTGTCTTTATAGCATTCTGGTTTTACAACCTTTGAAACATTTCTGCTTTAGCTGGAATTGCAATAGAAGCCATCTGTATCAGGCATATTGTGACAAGGAGATGCATTTCTCCTATATCCTTGTTTTAATGCAGCAGGAGATGCAAAAAATTTAAGACATACAGTATGGCCCTTTACAAAGGTTAAGACTGTTTTATAACCAAAAGTTCAATATTTATAGAATTGAGTTCACATGAATAACAGCAGTGTGTAATTTTGTGTTAATGTGCATATTCTGCCTTAATTTTAAATTAGTGATGAAAATGGCACAACTAAACGAACAGCAGAAGTTGAAATGTTTCTTTACCAAGGCTTGATGATTCAGATGCATGTTTAGTCTTTGTACCTTCATGTGCTTATCTGCAAAATTTCACTCCCAAGGTAAGAAAATTAATATACTTATAAACATTTTCATACATATAACACTTCACAATACAATTAGGTATATCTATAGAAAATTCATATTTACAACAATTAAAAAAACATTACAACAGAGAACAGTTAAAAAAAAAAAACACGGGCAATTACAATATTTGGCCACAATGACAAATTTGATTAATCTCTATGCTTTAATACCTCAAATCAGAAGTTTCTATCCAGCAGCATGAGCACCCAAAAACATCCCATCACAGTCAATGTTTCATTTTTAACAGTCTTAATCTATTTCTAGAATTACAAAAATAGAACAATTAGTAAGTTAAACATTTAAATGATTTTTTTTCAAAAATATTGTGCTTTGATTTCTCACCGGGTTAACCCCCATCCCTATATTTATACATACTTTACTTCATTGAAAATTGTTTTTGTTTTTTTGTGGCCAAATGAATTTACACTGCAAAAAAATTTTTTTTAATTAGTATATCTTGTTTTCAGTCTAAAATTAAATTGAGTAAGGAGAATAAACTTTAGATATTGAAGATATATTCATCTAATCTTACACAAAAACACAAAAGTAAATTTATCCTGCTTGGATAAAAATAATATTTTTTTAGTGTTCAAGATCTTATTTCAGAGCAACAAGGTTACATCAATCAGTTATGATGGATGGAATCTCAAAGAGGACCATTTATACCCATTTTTGCAACAAATATCTAAAATATCCTGGCAATGAAATATCTCTGTATAGTCATTATTCAGTTGCATATGATTAAAAGAGAATGGTTCACAATGGATTCATGTTTTTAGTATTGCTTAAATAATGACATACTGCCTGGAAACCACTGTCTTTAAAGAGAGAGTCCCCCCAAACACATGTACTTTATTTCTAGATACTCATCAATGCCGTATTTGGATCCTTCTCTGCCCATTCCAGACTGTTTGATTCCACCAAATGAGGTTTCTGTGGTGGAGATCAGACCTTCATTGACCCCAACCATGCCCACTTCCATCTGCTCAGTCACCCGCCAGATCTGACTGATGTCTCTGGAGTAAAAGTAACCTGATGAAAGAAAACAGTTTTGAATATTATGCCACAGAAGTGATAGAAGGTATGTTGCTGCTCTTTGCTTTACTTGACCATCCAGACACATAAAGGTACAGTGGAGCTGAAAGAAAATATGACTTTTTCTGGTCCCAAATATATAATTGGGGGAAAAAATTATTTATTTTATATAGTCAGTTATTTCTATCTTTTGCTATAGTGTGTCAGTAGGAAAAATCAGTTTACATTTCCAAATGTATATACTGCCAACCAAAAGTTTAGAATAAAAAAAATATATATACAGTGGGTACGGAAAGTATTCAGACCTCCTTAAATTTTTCACTCTTTGTTATATTACAGCCATTTGCTAAAATCATTTAAGTTAATTTTTTTTCCTCATTAATGTACACACAGCACCCCATATTGACAGAAAAACACAGAATTGTTGACATTTTTGCAGATTTATTAAAAAAGAAAAACTGAAATATCACATGGTCCTAAGTATTCAGACCCTTTGCTCAGTATTTAGTAGAAGCACCCTTTTGATCTAATACAGCCATGAGTCTTTTTGGGAAAGATGCAACAAGTTTTTCACACCTGGATTTGGGGATCCTCTGCCATCCCTCCTTGCAGATCCTCTCCAGTTCTGTCAGGTTGGATGGTAAACGTTGGTGGACAGCCATTTTTAGGTCTCGCCAGAGATGCTCAATTGGGTTTAAGTCAGGGCTCTGGCTGGGCCATTCAAGAACAGTCACGAACCTTAAGTGCAGCAGATTTTTTTTTTGTAACCTTGGCCAGATCTGTGCCTTGCCACAATTCTGTCTCTGAGCTCTTCGGGCAGTTCCTTTGACCTCATGATTCTCATTTGCTCTGACATGCACTGTGAGCTGTAAGGTCTTATATAGACAGGTGTGTGGCTTTCCTAATCAAGTCCAATCAGTATAATCAAACACAGCTGGACTCAAATGAAGGTGTAGAACCATCTCAAGGATGATCAGAAGAAATGGACAGCACCTGAGTTAAATATATGAGTGTCACAGTAAAGGGTCTGAATACTTAGGACCATGTGATATTTCAGTTTTTCTTTTTTAATAAATCTGCAAAAATGTCAACAATTCTGTGTTTTTCTGTCAATATGGGGTGCTGTGTGTACATTAATGAGGAAAAAAAATTAACTTAAATGATTTTAGCAAATGGCTGCAATATAACAAAGAGTGAAAAATTTAAGGGGGTCTGAATACTTTCTGTACCCACTGTATATATATTTTTAAAGAAGTCTCTAATGCTCAGCAAGGCAGCACTTATTTGTTAAAAATTACAGTAAAAACAATAATATTGTGAAATATTATTCTAATTATATTGATAATATATTTTACATTGAATATATTTTAAAATGTGAAATATTTTAGTCTCATTTAAATACATATTCAAGATAATCCCTTTGTTTTTGTTGTTATTTAGTGTTTAGGATGTAAATAAAATGAGAGGTCCTTTAACCCCTTTGTTTCCAACAGTATTTCATGATTGGTTAATTTGCCTTGTTAAATGATTAACTAGTAAAATTGTAATTTAATGTAGTCTATTTGTACATGCTTTCAATAAGGAACAGTTTAGCTAATAAATAAACAGGCATGTGAGGAAAAAGTGGGCAAACTCAAGACTGTCCAACAAAACTTTGTAAAATCAGAAACTACACAGGAAAAAAAAAACATGATTACTTTGCACAGATGCACAAACCTGCTAAACCAACAGGAGAAGCATTGGCAATGGCAAGTGCCTCCTGTTCTGTGTTGAACCTGGTGAAGAAAAAAAAAATTCAGCTGCTGGCAGACATTCACGCTGAAACATGCAGCCCATTAAAACCTATTAACAAAAAATGTTATGTAAAAAAAAATAAAATAAAATAAAACTAATTAAAAATCTTATACAATTGTAATAATCAAATGAAACCAAATATTTTCAGAAACAATTCAAATTAATCTCAAAATTGTTATGCTGATAATATATAAGAAATCTGATAAATATGTAATGTAAAATAAAATGTGTTTTAAATGACTACATTTGAGGTTAACATGAAGTCATCTAATCCAATAAATAGTAAATACTCACTTAACAAGAGGAATAAGGGGTCCAAAGGTCTCCTCTCGCATACATTGCATGTCAGTGTTGACATTGGACAGCAGGGTGGGCTGCATGAAGGAGCCCTCCAGTCTCTTCCCACCTCGAACTATGACTGCTCCCTGTGCCACAGCATCTGCAATCTGGTTCTCCACCTGAAGGAAACAATAGCTGATCAACACCATTAAACCCATCATCTTAACCAAATGATCTGTTTGTGTGTGCTTGTTGACAGTGACATCAGTGTTTGCTTCCAACAGAATCAACTGATTACTGTATCGGCACCTTCTCTACGGCGCGGGTGTTGATGAGCGGCCCCTGTGTGGTGGCGGGCTCTGAGCCGTGGCCAAGCTTCAGTTCAGCATCCATAGCCTTGGCCAGCTTTTCCATGAAAGCATCATGGATCCCACTCTGCACCAAAAAGCGGTTGGAGCACACGCAGGTCTACAGAAGAGAGAGACACGTTACAGGTGAGAAATTGAGAACAGTTGTTTACAGTCAATCCCACTCTGCACCAAAAAGCGGTTGGAGCACACGCAGGTCTACAGAAGAGAGAGACACACGTTACAGGTGAGAAATTGAGAACAGTTGTTTACAGTCAATTACACCAGTCCTCAGGTCCTTACACTGGCTTCCAGTTATATTTAGGATTGATTTTAAAGTACTTTTACTCGTTTATAAATCACTCAATGGCCTAGGACCTAAATATATAGCAGATATGCTCACTGAATATAAACCTAACAGACCACTCAGATCATTAGGATCGAGTCAGTTAGAAATACCAAGGGTTCACACAAAACAAGGGGAATGTGCTTTTAGTTATTATGCCACCCGCAGTTGGAATCAGCTTCCAGAAGAGATCAGATGTGCTAAAACATTAGTCACATTTAAATGCAGACTCAAAACTCATCTGTTTAGCTGTGCATTTATTGAATGAGCACTGTGCGATGTCCGAACTGATTGCACTATATTATATGTATAATCGTTTTCTTAAATTCATTTTAAACCTCTTAAATCAAATTTTTTTTAAATAATTTTCAAAGTTTTTAAATTCCTTGTTTTATTGTTGTGATTATTGTTTTTATTTTATTTTATGTAAAGCACTTTGAATTACCATTGTGTATGAAATGTGCTATACAAATAAACTTGCCTTGCCTTGCCTACAGTGACAAAAATATCAAGTATTTACACCATAGTATTTACATGGTGCTCAAAGGTACTTAAAGAATGCTGTGATTCTGAAACAGTACCTGAAGTTCACTACTTCACTAATTATTTATGAAAAACATTAACTTTTCTTCCTTGAAAATTGTGCTACGGGTCAATGTATGGGTCAAATTTCTCCCCAAAATAAACAGGAAAAAAGAAACAATATTTTGCATAAATTAATTTAAGACTGAAACACACTCACCTGGCCTGAGTTCCTGAATTTGGAAACCATCGCTCCTGCAACGGCTTTATCTACATCAGCGCTGTCAAATACAATAAAGGGGGCATGTCCTCCTAGCTCCATGGAGACCCTTTTGACCGTTCCTGCAGCATGTCTTAGTAGTATCTGCAAAAGCATTTACTTAAGCGATTACTAAATTATGGTGAACATTAAATGTTGACTGCACATAGAAATTAGATCTTTACCTTGCCAGTGGCCGTGGATCCGGTAAATGAAATTTTGGCCACGAGAGGGTCCGTGCAGAGCAGCTCTCCCACAGCAAGGGTCTTTTCTCTTGAGCAGGGCACTACATTAAACACCCCAGGAGGAATGCCAGCCTGAACCGACAGCTAGACAAGAAATACAATGGATTATTCATTCTGTCATCTACATACGTAAGATTTTTTATTGTTTTTGAAAGAAGTCTCTTATGCTTAAACTTAATTTATTTGTTTAAAAATACAGTACAAACAGTCATTCTGAGAAATACTATTACAATTTTAAATAGCAGTGAGTCCAGCCCGGGGTCGTCACATGTGGTTGCCGCAAGCCTGCCGGCCGCGCCATTCTCAAGCCTCCCGCTCACTCTAGCCCGCTGTGCGTTTCGTTGTGAAAGCGAAACTATTTTCTTTGGCCTTCCAAAAGAGGACACGACTAGAATCAGTGGTTAAGTTGTATTTACAACACTGTTCCAGAACAGTTCAACCCAAATATTCAGATGTGTGCAGCACATTTTATGGAGAACCGTTTCCTGATCCTGGTAGAGTAGACTACAATGCCGGCTGTTCTGACTCACAGACTGTAAGTACGTTTTCATATTTAAAGGATTTGCCACGGATGCTTCAAACTCGAGTTTTGAGCAGTGTAGAGTAGTACGGAGGGAGGGGTTCTAGCAGACCAATCACAGCGCTTGCGGTCCGTGTAGAATTGACGCGCTGTTAGATTTTTGGAGAGGTGCACGTCAGGCTACGGCATAGGGTGTGCGTCTATGCGTAGGCTACGGCGTAGGTTCGACGCAGAAGTATAAATTGGGCTTAATGGGTTTTAATATTTTTGTCTCGTCGCTCCGGCCAGACAGAGCATCACAGTATGGGAGGGGCGTAACATTTCTGTCACACACTTGAGGTATTTGGCCAATCACAATGCACTGGATGGATAGCTGGCCAATCAGAGCACACCACGCTTTTCAGACCGATGAGCTTTGTAAAAATCGACGCGTTTTAGAAAGGTGGGGCATAGAGGAGAAACAATAATGTACAGTATGTGGAAAATTATGTTTTTTGAACCTTAAACCACAAACACATTTCATTACACTAAATACACAAAATAATGTTATTTTTAGCAACATAATATGACCCCTTTAAATGTAAATGTAATTTATTCCTAATTAAAGCTGAATTTTCAGCATCATTACTCCAGTCTTTAGTGTGACATGATCCTTCAGAAATCATTCTAATATGCTGATTTGGTGCTCAAGAAACATTTCTTAAAATTATCAATGTTGAAATCAGTTGTGCAGAGTTTTGTTTTGAAACAATGTAAAAGTATTTGCCACTTTTAATTAATTTGATTTCTTTCAAAAAATAAAAATCTTACTGACTATACACTTTTGAATGGTAGTTAATCTACACAGTTTGCCTGTCTTGCTAAAATGTAAAGTTAAGCAGGCTTTCATGGAAACAGACAGACCTCAGCAAGAGCTAGAGCAGAGAGAGGCGTATTCTCAGCCGGCTTCACCACCACAGTGCAGCCCACCGCCAGTGCTGCGCCCACCTTCCTGGTAATCATGGCACTGGGGAAATTCCACTGTGAAAAGGGAAAATTTGAAATCATAACTGGGAGCTGACAGTTTTACTTTAGCTCATTGACCCTATAGCCTGATGGTGTTATGTTATCAGAATGAAGGAGGAAGTCTCACAGGTGTAATGATGGAAGCCACTCCCACCGGCTGCTTGAGTAACAGGATTTTGCGGTCCTTGGCTGAAGGTGCGACAATATCTCCATACACACGTCTGGCCTCTTCAGAAAACCACTCCAGGAAGGAGGCAGAGTATGTCATCTCACCAATAGACTCCTTCATGGGCTTCCCCTGTACACACATTTGAGTTATAACCAATTCTAATATCTGAATCCTTGTAAACAGAAACATTAGATGTTGTATCCTGTATGTAATGGGTCAGAATACCTACACACTCTGCTGTGATCAACTTGGCAAGATCTTCCTTGTGCTGATTGATCAATTCAAACCATTTTCGTAATAAAATGCTTCTTTCCTGCAAAAGAGCATGTATTAATATATATATATATATATATATATATATATATATATATATCAGAACTTCTGTACATAATGATGAAATACTTTCATTTAAATAATTCAATTTTTTAATTTCATTGCATTGTAATTTCATAAACAGTTGTACCCCTTAATATTTTTGTGAAAAACAATTTTTTCAGGATTCTTTGATGAATAGAACGTTCAAAAGAACAGTATTTATTTAAAATAGTTTTTTTTTTGTAACAACGGATTTTTGTCATTTTTTATTTATTTAATGCATCCTTGCTAAATAAAAGTATTATTCAGATCAAACCATTTCTGTAAAGAAATGCTTTTCCTGCAAAGAGCGTACATCAATTTGTATATCAGAACTTCTTAATTTATCTTGAATACTTACTATTTTATTTAAATTGTAATGAATTGTAATTCGTTCAAATTGTTATTTTTTCACATTACATTAATGATAATTGAGAGGGGAAACTTAATTGTCATGAAAATAATCACAATGTAAAACAGCACTATGTAAATGGACTTAAATTACAAAACATACAGAATTTTGTTTATTTCAGGGAAAAAACTATATACTAAAAAGTGATCGATTGTAGAACTTTAGGTATAGTCATAAGAATGTAATACTAAGATTTTGTTCAAGTACCTTTTGAGTGCCATGTAAATACCCTGGTATAAAAATCAAAGCACTATGGCATACCATCCGATATCAGATGTACCACCCCAGAACGTTTTCGAAACTAGTAAATATATGGCATATTGTAAATATGCTTAGTACATTCCAGTTAAGAATTAGATCTAATGCATGGAGATATGAATAACAGTCATGCACATTAAAAACATTCCCCTCATCTCACCTTGGCTGTGTGATTCTTCCACAGGTGAAACGCTTTGTATGCAGCATTGACGGCGTCTTGAGCTTCCATTGTACCGCAGTCTGACACCTTCGCGATCTCTTCTCCCGTGGCTGGGTCTAACACGGGGAACGTGGATGCAGCGGAGACCCAGCGCCCATCTATGAAGGCTCGAGTCCGCAAGAGCTGCGCTGACACATCGAGGCTGTACGGCCGCTGCAGCATGCTGGGTAATCCAAAGAACACCTGCCGGAGAATACAGCGACTTCCTGAGAGATATAAACTGCCCATGATAAGAACGGGCAGGTCTAATAAAACCTAGATGTTCGTCAGCTGGTTGATGGGTGCAGGAGTCTAATATCAAGCTCAGTCCAGTCCAGAAAAAAAGAGGGCGGTTGCTTTAAACACGTGATTACACGCGCTTTAACAATATTCTCCTTGTTTACATTCTACTATTACTAACGACTGTTATACACACACACACACACACATATATATGAAAATTCTATCTTAATTAATTTCCGCTCCAAAAACGCTAAAGACGGATTAACATAATAAGTAATAATAGTAATAATTGTCCAGTTGATTGCGTGTTGCATAACTCTTTGCAGGTCCAACTCAAGGCTTTCTTCCAACACTTTTAATAAGAAAGGAGATAACGATTTGGTAGGCTAACGTTACACTAGCGAAGTCCGATTCATGAATGAATCGTTTCTGAGTCGAATCTTTTCCAGGAAAGAGTTGAACCTGTTTGAAAAACACCTAAATGATTCGTTCACGAATCCGAATCTCTCCAGAAGATAAACTTGCAGCAGCTAACATCTCGTGATTCAATAAAACAGACATAGTGAGTCAAGTTTACAATAAACAACTGTGCATTATAATGAAGGCTAAAACTGCACAGCATTTTTAGCTTTTTAAACAATATACTCCATCCTACACCAACTACGCACACATTTCCTATCATGTATGCCCATGAAAGACGATCGAACCAATCAGAGTAGGTATGGGGCGGAGCGACACGTGCAGCCCCGCCCCGATCTGTAGGCTGCAGCCGGGTACTTGATCCGTACGGGTAAAACGGGTAAAACATGTCCGATTCGTAATGAGCCATGAACCGAACTGTTCAAAGGAACCGATTTTCATAAATGGATCATAACGGATCACATAAAGCGAGTGTTTTAATCACAATACTGGCTTGTTCCAAACAAAAAGAGCATCACAGCGCCCTCTGTGACAACTTTACATAACAGGATACTGTTAATTCTTCTGCAATCTACAAATGTATTCTTAACGTATATATTTCAAGGTCATTTACAAATATACCACTGATTAATCTACAGAGAATCTCATAATGTACCTTTAAGAAACTATCATCTGGCATCAATATGTCTTAAGATTCTCATGGTCTCCTCAAAGGAGAAGAATAAAAACTTGTGAATTTGTCTTCAAATGTATGGTGAAATTGTATGTTAGCTCACATTCAGTGAGAAATCAAATATTATTTATAAGTATGGATTTTCCTTGAGCTCTTCTTTGTTTTTGGGTCTCTTTATGACCCAACTAGCATCATTGTTCCAGCTCTTGATGTACATGTATACATGTTAGTACTTTTACAAGCACCCATTATATTTGTCCACAAAGTTATCTCAGCAAGTAATGCAAACAAGTGAACAAATCAACGGCTACTGGTGATGTATTAAATAGATGTATTTATATAAAACAAACTAAATAATGACATTAGTTCAGTAAGAGATTCAATGTGAAAACGTATATATTCATTTGAAAACTTAGAGAACAGCACTAGAAGTCCCTCGAGCAAAAAACGATGCTCCTTTATCGTGAACTTTAAAGTGAAATATTTTTCGTTGGTTGTAGATGGTCTCTCCTCTCTGTCTCCACCAAACCTCCATCTAAAAAAACCCCACAAAAATGTCAACTTAATTCAGAGCCATTTATAACAGAGTAAGCGTAAACTTAAACATGAAATCGCACCTGTCCATGTATGTCCCTGCAGTAGCCCGTGGGTAACCCCTCTACATGTAAAGCCAAGTTACACTGATGAACTAGTCCCCTCTGAAGCAGGTTTGATCCCTCTTCATCAACATCATCTGCATCCTCCTCCTCACATCTCACCAGAATTACCATATTTCCCTGGATATCAGCAGACATTTATAGTTAATAGATCATAATACAGTGTGAAACCAACTGCATCTGGCATTATTTCAGGCACTGACGCAAAAACACTGACTCACCTGCAACTCAGAGCACACGGTGGCTTGGCAGTAGAGGGTAAAGTCTAGTATTGCTCCAACACTAACACCTAAACTCAGGAGCACACTGAGATCATCTATAAGTAACACTGGAGGACCCCATGATTCACCAGCATCACCATCTCCGCTCTGACGCATAGCACGTTCCACAAATCTGAACAGACCTTCCAGTCCAGCACCTGGGGACCTAGAAAAACGAAGCAAACAAACAAAAAATGGCAAAGCACATTTTGTTCCTTATATATCTTTCATAACATTATAAGGAGGAGGAATAGAGATAAAATGTATTTAAACTATATTTTCATAACATACTATACGTGCCTGAGATAACTCAAAGGTTGTGTCTCCTGACTGGTGTCCTCCTGTAATAAAACTCCAACAGAATCCTTCAGTCCTTCAAGAAACACGAGCTGACCCTTCTCTCTTGCCTGTGCCAGACTCACTCCCTGCACAAAAACATTATGATCAAGAAATATAAATGTCTGTCTAATAATAAAAACCTGTCTAAATAGAGCAAGTTGATGTAAACTTACCAGCCTCTGACCAACAGCACTGTAGTGACTGAAGGACTGCACAAGACCCAGAAAACACACCTTACAGCCAGCTGGAAATATCCAAGTTTAGAAAAATAATAATATATATATATATATATATATATCCTCACTATAAACAACAGGTCACTTACCACGTAAATAGAAAGACAGATAGTGATGAATAAGGAATGATGCATCAGCTCGTCTGTCTGACACTAGGATAAAGTCACTCTGCAAGTACAGAAAACATCGGTTAGACTCTATGACATCTAGCAAGTTACATCAAGCTTGTAAAGGGGTGTAATTACCGATTTGAAACTGTCTGGAGTGGAATTGAGAATACTGTTCAATTCTGGAAACATGTTTGTGAGATAAGAGATTAACTTTACTACAGTTGAGCAGGATATGCTGCTGTCTCCTCTCTATGTCTCCAGATCTTCTTCAGTATTTCTCATGCTGTTAAGTAAAACACGACTGTAAATTAAAGCATAGCATTTAAAATGCATACATTCCTGTATATATGTAGCGCAGTTAGCATGCTAAATTAATATTAGCGTTGTCTAAGTATTCAAAGTATCGAAAATACGAAGAGAACATTAAAATAATAATACTAACGTACCGGCACCGTCTGCAGTTACATCATTTTCTTTTAAAATATAAACAAATAAATACGAAGAAATATTTCACGCTTGCCTGTTATGCTAGTCAACGTGGGTACGGAAACCGCATAAAGACAATCTTTCCGAAAACGCGTTTTGGTAGAGAGGTTTTTTCTTTCTTAAATCACTGAAAAAAAATATTTACAAATATTTTTTATGTATCCTTTAAAAAAACTGGTAGATATACCCAACCTTAAAAATATTTATTTTGACCAGAGATAAAAACGCTGCACGTGCACCAAAGACAGGCCCAGATAGTGTTTCATTATAAAAATATATGTAAAAAATATACAAACAAGAAAACTCGGGGACAAACTGTTGATCTTTCACGATACATAACGTGTGCTTGGGCCTGCTTTTAGTTAGAACGCTAAGCATTTGCTTTCAACACACTGAAATACAACAAGTAATTCTGCCTGTTAAACTTTACAACAAAAGTGTAACCATAACTTGCTTTTGGCCTAAAACTAATTTCAACAGATTGTCAATGTTTTTACCTATAAATCACTGCTGATGGCATCTTATACAACAGAAATTCTAAATACATAAAAACTGTCTTGACCACATGAATCACCCATAAAATAAATAGTATAATGTCCTCCAAAAAAATCTTAATATTCTTGGATTTAGATGGACGAAAACTGTACATTTTCAAATAAGTTTCGCACAGCAATGGCAATGCAAGCCCTTGAAATTCAGTTCATGGAATGTTAATCATCAGCTGTGTACCTGGAAAACATGTCATAGATAATGCAAAACATTTCTTTCTATGCAAAGATAAGCTTTAGAACACTTGCGGTTTAGTTCCATAAAATTTCGTTCACATTTTAAACTTGACATACAAAGACTGAACACAACTGATGATATAACTTCACTCAAGGCCTGACTGTAAAAGCTGTTAACATCTATAAACAAAGCAGCTAGGAAATTGTACAGGGAAAGCCGAAACAGGCACATGGACCAGACCGTGAAATGCAAGCAAAGACATGATGCATACTTTTTAAGAGCACAAAACATTGAAATGCAAATCGTGATTTAGTGTCTAACAGAACAAAAGAAGAAAAAAGTGAAACAACCATTGCTCATTCTTGTACTCTGAATGGAGTAAATTATCTTTATAAACAGCTAAAAGTATTATAATACATGAAAGAGTCTGTTTTCTAAGTAAATACATAGCTACTTCGATTATCACACCACCAGATGCCGACTGCATCAATAAGACATGCCTCACACTGCAGGAGCAGGTCAATGTTACACAGATACGAAAAATGTCTAGTATTGTTCTTTATATGATATACTGTTAACCTTCATTCTAAATTTTATGTCACTATTTTAGGAATGTTCTAAGTTCAAGTTAAGCTCTATTGACAGCATTTGCAATTACAATTTTGACGACCTTCAGTTGTTGCTGTTGTTTTTTTAAAGAAACAAAAACCGTGGTTATAATACGGCACAACATTGAACCAGGCAAGAAACATTCAGCTAGTAAACCCAGAAATTTTTGCACAACATTTTCAGAATTCACTGACCCTGAAAATCTATTAAAAAGGCAGATTTTGCATCTCAAATAATAGATTTCTTACTGATTCATTAATGCAGGTGATTTAACAAAAATATCAGCTTCACCAGAACACTGTCCAAGTTTATTTTTTATCGAAAGTGCATTACTATAACCACAACTTGCACTTTAAAAAAAATAAATAAATGATGTATATTGAACCCAGAACGTTACTTTAAGTACACTATGGTGCATACTAACTGTATAGTATGCATTCGAGGTGCATAACGGGGCTTGATTGAAAAGCATTATCACTAAATCTTCCATAGCTTGCACTGCTGTATGTTAAAAAGACACGCCTGGTCTCAGCATCATTGTGGCCACCTAAATATAACTCATGCTACATCTTTGTAGAGGTTTGTACAGACACTGAATGCTATGTGTAAAAAAAAGGATAAAAACAAAAGTTATGATTTACAATAAATAAACACAATGTCACACTCCAGGCACACACAGTATGTAATTCCTGAGTGTTTGAGTCTTTGGGTTTACTGCTACGGCGTGCCCTCGGAGGTGGCTGTGATATCTGCTGCTTCTACTAATGTTACTGTTTCTCCTGTCGTTGAGTCAAGGGGCTCCTCTTTAATGATGATGGCCCCTTCTGGCAACATGACAACTTCCTCTTCGCCAACCACCTCCTCCTCTTCCTCTTCCTGGAGCACCACTTCCTCTTGGGGCTCTGTGCTGGAGCCATTGGTTTGCCCGTTTGCAATGGCCTCTAGTTTAAGCCTGTACTGCTCAGCTTCCTGTTCCTTTCGTAGTAACTGCTGTCTGTACCCCTGGGCTTTTCTGTTTGCTTCCTTTAGTTGCCGTTCCAGTAGTTCCCGACTGTTCTTCTCGGTGGGCTCCTATAGAAAACCCCAAACAGTTTACTTTCAAATTGATTTTGCATTCCAAAAAGTACGATTTAAATGGGAATCTCTGCTCATCAGACCTTGTGTTTTACATCTGCGTGGTTGACGGTTAATTCAAATTTCCGCTTCCGTGTTGGAACTGGTTTTGTGTCCTCTGTTATGATTTCTTCTGCAATCTGACCCGCTGGCACTGCAACCACTAAATATATACAGGCATGTTAGAATATAAATACTGCATCAAAGTCTGTAAACTATAAACTAGCAATCTACTCACTTTGCTGCCCATGCATTGTGACAAAGAATTTCTGTCCCAAGTTGCCAGTCTGCAGGTTTCCCTGTTGGTCGGTTACTATGGTGATGACTCTCTGGCCATCTTCCGCTACAAGATGCTGGATGGCAGAATCTACCGAATCAGCAGCAATCACGCTCTCTGCAGCTCCTGCTGGGATATAGCAGCAGTTTGTTTGCAAAGGAGAAATTCACAAATATTACTTATAATACACATTTTCTATGTGCATTCAGTTCAAATAAAACATTACATAAAATAAAACTGGTTAATTAAATACTGCTGCAAAATGTCAATGTCAAAATGAACATTCAACAAGCACAAAATGCAAGAAAAATATGCTTTAGTGAGTAAATAAAATGCGAGTTGGCTGGTACATGTTAAGAGTTGTGATTCATAATTCCTAACTGATTTGAATGTAAAGCATAATTCAAATCAAAGTCACACAAACCTGCTAAAGAAACGTTGCACCTCAAGCCTCATGCCATGAATTATAATAAAATTATGAGTTGTACCCACAAAAATCAACAGGTTTACAAAGAATGCCTAAAGTGTTTGTTTTGTTGTTGTTGTTAATCATGTGGCAAAAGTTTAATGTTCTTTATGTATCGTTAATGTTGTTGAAATTAGTATCTTATGAAAAAAAACCTGTATTATTGTGAAATAATAATACAATTAAAAATAGCTTTTCTATTTGAATATATTTTATTTTTAAATTCTTTATTTTTATATATTTAAAGTTAATTCCTATGATGGCAAAGCTGAATTTTCAGCAATTCTTTTCTTTGAGTCTTTTAGTCTTCAGTGTCACAATCTTTCAGAAATTTTTTTAATATGCTGATCTTGTGCTCAATAAATATCTGTTATTATAATCAGTGTTGAAAACAGTTGTGCTGCTTAATATTTTTGTGTAAACTGAGATACTTTTTAAAGGATTGCTTAATGAATAGAAAGTTTAAAAAAATGTTAACATTATAAATGTCTTTAATGTCAGTTATAATCAATGTAAAGTGTCCTTGTTAAAAAAAAAAATTATAATTCCATTCAAAATTTCTTACTGACCCCAGTCTTCTGAATGGCTTGTGTAAGTGGAAAAAACTCTTTGCATTAAGCCAACAAATTAAATATACTAAGGCAAAGAAATTATGATTTATATGATTTTTGACAGGGCAGGTGGAGAGAACAGGTTGCCACAGCCATTATCATAGGAACAAAAACATATTTTTTTCAATTAAAACTATGTAAAACAGAATTTCATCTCAGATCATTTTGCCATTTACTCATTACTGACAAGCATGGAAACAAAATGTAATGAAACTCATACCTGTGTTAGTCTTAGCATTAGTGAGAACAATATCAGAGAGATTGACCACTCCAGAGGAGGAGATGATGAACTGAGGGCTGGCGGTGGCGGGAGACGTGCTGCTTAGGATAGTCCTCTCTGGATTCATGTTCACTTGGTTCTGCATTCCCTCCTAGAATAACAAACAAACCATCAACTTATGAGACTGCAGCCTTGATTTTGCCTATAAACGATTTTAAATACACAATGGTGAATTTTACATGATGTTTTGACAATGATATGATGACAATGATAATCAACACGTCATTAAAATGCAATCTCATTTTTACCTGTAACAATAGCATCAGCTCAGTGTTTCCTCGGTCCACCGCAATGTTAAAAGGCGTCTTGTCAAACTTGCTGAGGGCGTGAGTATCAGCGCCGTTTTTGATCAACAGCTCCAGGACTCCCCTGTGCCCATGTTCCGCAGCCCAGTGCAGGGCGGTCATTTTCAGCATGTCTTTGGCATTGATGTCTGCTCCACTCTGTTCCAGATATAACAGATATTATATCTCAAATAAAAAGTCAGAATTTCAAATAAAAAAAAAACTCATGCTGTTCTGCTTTCATCAGTTATTACCTTGACCAACAATTCAACAATGCTTGAGTGGCCCTCTGCCGCAGCCATGTGGAGGGGGGTTCGATCGACTTTAGTGCGGGCATCTCTACTCACTCCGGCACGGAGAAGCACTTCAGCGGTGGAGTAGTGCCCGTATTGTGCAGCTAAATGAAGTGGTGAGGTTCCCAGCTAAAACATATTACCATCCTCATGTTATAGTAAAATGCAGATTATAAATTGCCGACAATAAGCATTGAGCAGCAAATACAACTCACCCAGTCTGTAGTAAAAGGAGCTCCATTGGCCATAAGTGACCTCACTTCATCATCCTGTCCTTTGCGTGCGGCCTCCAACAAACGCTTTCCCAAATCCACAAGCGACATCTAATCATACAAATAAGGTTTGAAGCATCAGAATATAGTTGATAGTGAAATGTTGCTTTATTTCTTGACAACCACATGTTTACAACCATGAGGTGTTTAACCAGGTGCAGTTTTTCAAAGAAAATGCCCAAAAGATGGTTTCCATATATACAAACGGTATAGTGTATGACACTGTGGTTATATTAGTCATAAGACTTTATTCTATAAGGATCAAGTGTTTTTAAGTGCCAGGAAGCGGATGTGTACATTCATCTTCGACATTATCAATGACAGAACGGGAAATAGTCATCATTTTATAATAAGGCAAGTTCCGGTGGAAGTTGGTTCCATGCTTTTGTTGACAATATTACTGTGTGGCTGGACGGACATTTTCACAAACTTTCAGTCAGGTTTACTGTCTATTATATAGTGTTACGGTTTTAAAAACTGTTTGATTTCTACATCATAAGAAACATAATTAATATCGTAACCTTATTGGTTATTTTTAACGAGATTTTCGAAATACATACAGTATATTTTTCAAACTATTTTTATGAGCAGGCTAATAATCGGACAAGTAGAGAACATATGACTAAAAGTGCAAATTTAACATGACAAGAAGTTTGAGCAAGTTGCGCTTAACTTTTTAAAGTCTTAAAACAAGTCCTCGTATTGTCATGTATTCGTCTGCAGTTACTATATCGCCAATACCATATCAAATATGTAATTAAAATCTCTTTTTATGACAGTAACATTACATCAAACTCCTGCAGTCAGTTGCTAGTAAACAGAATAAAGCAAAACTTCTGGTGCTCACCTCGCCAAAAATGTTTCCCGAAGAGTTTTACTGTATTATAACACGCTAGATACAGTAAAAACCAGTCATATGCTTCGGTTATTTAATACGATTTAGTGTTCTTTCATACTTTTCGATACTTTTTGAAAACAAAATAACATAGATATGGGCTATTTGTCGTCAAAGATGGCGCACGAACGGTACCGGAAGTAGAAATATTTGATTGGTTCTTCTTTGGTAGTGTTTAAAAGTTGAGGCGTTTGTAGCGCCCCCTACTGCAAAACCAGTACACATGACGAGATCCTGCCACCAGACGAAAAATGTATTGGCTAGCTCATCCATTCTCTGCTTTTGAAAACGAAGAGGTTTATGCAAATACATTTCCTCTAACTTGTTATTTTATTCTTTTATTTAGGATAGGACTGCTGAGATTGCAAAATTTCCCAAAGTTCAAGATTAAAATCATATAATGACTCATTAAGCATTGAAAATGCACTAGAAAACTGAGTAATCTCAGCAATTTTATCCCAAAGAGGGAGATTTAATTGGAGTAATAAAAAAAAAAACTCAATTTTCATCAGATAATCAACAAATCTATAGATGAAAGAAAGATACTTTTTATTGTACGTCCATCAAATATATAGTCTATATCTGTAGCCCGTTGGTGGCGCTGCTGGTCTCTGGAATGAAGTATTTCCTCACATTAATGGGGAAACTTCAACCACACCTCAGTGATCTGGGAAACACAGAGTCACTTCCACCCTGGCACCCTCAGCTCTCCTCACAAGAGTTGCTTCACTCCAGCCGCTCACTTGGGGCTCTCGTTTTAATCAAAGGTAAAGTTTTTCTTTCTATTTTAATTTATGCTAGAAAATTGAATAACTTTTCCGAGACTCGATTGAACTTTATTAATTCATTTGAGCCGCTAGCATGGCCCGGGTTCGGTCGAGCCGGTTTGTTGTGCCGAGCTTTCAGTTGTAGTTGAGTTTGAGTAGGACCAGCGCCTGTGTGCTCGAGTAATAAAGACGATAAAGATAAGCGATGGACGCTGATAGTCTAGTTCACTTCAGTCGGATGACTCTCGGACAACTTATTCATCGAGGTTCTGCGAGTTAAAACTAGTTGAGGAGAGGAAAAAACGTTTTTTTTTGTGTGTTTGTTTGTTTGTTTGTTTGTTTGTTTGTTTGTTTTAAAGGTTTACACACTGTTTTATTGTTTTCCTGTTTGTTTTTTCTGCTTTCGTCTGAGTGGCTTGTTTCTTTGTAACGTTTGTAATCCATGTTTACTTGTTTACCGAATCCATTCTAGGTGTGTTTGAGTAACGTTAGTTGTCATTGTAACGGGTTTGTTATTATTACCCTGATTTTCCTTTAGTTGTAACGGCACTATAAAGTGAATTCAATCCCCAAGAAAGCGGCTGTCTCAAACAAGTGAACTGCCTTCCTAGACAGCATAAAGAGCCATACTGTCTAGTTAGGGAGTTCAGCTCAAAGTTGAACACTGTTACAAAGATTAGTTTCTGTTCATATTTATTTATTAAAAACTGCCACGTTAGTACTTCGTTTTTCGATATACCACTGTAATACCATGCTATTCATTGATTTTAATTGGGGCACCATATTAATACCAACATGAATATTTGAATCATTCAGCACAATTGTATATTTCAAAGTACCATGGTATTACAATATGATGTATGTGGTAATATGTAGTACTTCTTCATTACAAGCTGTTTTTGAAGTTAATTGGAGTACTATCATGTAAATGAATATGGTAATTGCTCAGTGCCATATTGTATATCTCAATGCCAAAGAAAGAAGTTACAAGATGGTATTCCTTTTCTTTAATTTAAGATTGGCATCATTCATAATCAGTGTCACTTACTGTTTTGTTTGCAGCATGTTAAATGTATAATATATGGTGGGCTTGTATGATGGATTCAGGTCTACTTCATTACAAATTCATATTTTTTTTTCTTTCTTTCATTGAACAGATTCGTCTGTAACAGATCTGGCTTGTATAAACCCCACAGTCCCACAGATTCAACTGGAAATCAGGGGCCCAGAATAACTGCGGGAATAAGGGGACTTGTGTATATATACTTAAAGCAGAGACATCAACAAGGATTCTGTCAGTGATCAGGATGGAGATTTTTGGACGAGCTACGGCTTATATCGCTGAGTGTTGAAGATTAGATTCTCTCTCTATCTTGTCTCTAAACGGCCTGCAGGGTGGCGAGAGAGAGGGGGGAACCCAACCGGTGCATGCCGGAGATGAGTGCGTTCTGGCATAAGATCGGCTGCTGCGTGGTAGCCAAACCTCCTCCGGTAAGTGTCTCATTTGGAGAGATTTATAGTTTTATTTCCCAGGCTTCCATCATAAGGAATCTACATGAATCACAGGTACTGTGATATCAGGCTTCTTTTGAGAACAACATCTGGACTAATTTCATCAATTAGGCATTCCCTGTGGCTCATGCAAGCTTTGTGTTCGCTAATCACGCGAAGAATGACTCACGCTGGTCAAGGGCAGAAAAGAAACCTTTCAGCTGATGTGAATGTGACCCAGATAGTCTTAGGAGTTTGTCAGGAGTGCAAATGTGTTTTTGAGAGTGAAGCCAGACGTAAAACACAGATGGACAAAGAATGTTCTGTCATTGAACGGGTGAACGTGTAGAGGTATGGATCCAAACCACTTTGCATGTGAGGGAAGTCTGATAAATGTGCCCACACATGCATATTTCATTTTTTATCAAGAATATACTCTACAGTTCAAAAGTTTGGGGTCAGTAAGATTTTAAAAAAATAACTTTTATTTGGCAAGGATGCATTAAATTGATCAAACACAACATTATGAACATTTATAACATTGCAAACTATTTCTATTTCAAATAAATGCTGTTCTTTCAACTTTCAGTTCATTAAAATCCAGAAACAAATGGTTTCCGACATTTATTAATAAGAAATGTTTAAGCATAAAATCAGCTTATTAAAATGTTTTCTGAAGGATCATGTGACACTGAAGACTGGAGTAATGTCGAATATACTGAAATGCAAAATGGTTGTTTCGAATTGTAATAATATTTTGTGTTTTTGATCAAATAATTGCAGCCTTGGTGAGTATAAGAGACTTCTTTAAGATATAAAATAAAATAATTTTACCGACCCCAAACTTTTGAACAGTAGTGTATCATGTGATTATTCTTTTTTTAAGCTCAACCAAAAAATACAAATTTTCATCATTTACTCCCCCTCATGTTGTTACTAAACTGTATGACTGACTTTCTTAATTGGAACATAATAGGAGAAGTTTAACATGTTGACTCCTAAACTTCATACAATGAAATTAGTGACCACCATCTGTCAGACTCCAAAACAAAGAAAAAAGCACTATAAAAGTACTGCATATGACTCGCATACTATATCTTCCTATACTGTATTCATACCATCATCATCATATATATACTTTATTTGTCCCTTTAAGGGAAGTTTGTTTTGGGCAATACAGGTAAGATATCTTGTATAATTGTATTATAGGAATACTATACTATAAGTTTTCTAAAGCCATATGAAGTTGCTTTTGTCTAAAATTGTTGTTTTTTAGCTCTCAAATCTCATTCATGTTTGTGCATATTCAAATGTGGCACCACAAAATGCGTTGTACCATGTTTGACCTCAACAAGTTACTGCTTCTTGCACATCTTGATCATGATGTGGCAAGTTTGAAAAGCAGTTTTATTTGAATAATGACTTAAATATCGGTCTGTTCCTTACACAAAATAATTGCATGGCTTTTAAAGACTTTGAATGTAGAGCATGAGTCATATGGATCTCTTTATGGCGCTTTTATGATTCTTTTTGGCGCATGACAGTCCCTGGCGGTCTACTTTCATTTCATTGGAAAATCCCAAGTTTGGACGTTCAGACATTCTGCTAAACATCTCCTTTTGTATTGCATGAGCAAAAGGAAGTCAGAGTTTGCTAAATGATAGCAAAAATTAATTTTGGGTTGGACTTTCCCTTTAATATTCCTGTAAGTAAAAGAATCATGTTTATGTTTCTAGAATAGCTTTGCGTATTTGACAAATTAGTGGTTTAATTCAGTCTTTGTTAGTCAGTTTGTTTTCATCTGGATTGAGGTTCTGAGCCAGTGATGAGTGACCCAGGTTTACCATGGTCTCCTGTAACAATGACAGGGGGTTCTGAAGGGAAGCTGGCTCCTCCGAGCTGGGAGTGCTCATTCTTTTCCTCCCTCCTTCCTCTTATTATTTTTAGGTTCTTGTTTGTTCTGTTGTTGGGTGGGGGGTTAGGTTAGACAGCAGTGGGCATCTGTAACGGACCAATGCTACTTCCCAGTGCAAGAGCAATTTTCTTCAACTGATTTAGATCAAATGATTCTGTTTAAAGTGTCTCCTTACATCAGAGAAGGTGATAAGGACTAAAGCATGTGCCAAGGGTTTGCTATGATATGGGCCATTGACTATACAAAGATTATGAAAATAAACACCTTCAAGGATGTCTGGAGTTACATAAGACATGTTGCATTCGAAAAACTAAATTTAACTTGTAACTGTTTTCAACCTGAAAAGCTTGGTCCAGAGCAGAAAAATACGAAGAGCTTTCTTTCTTTCTTTCTTTCTTTCTAAGTAATAATAAATATAATATTCTTTCTAAATAATAATTAATGGCAATATATCTAATGAACACTTTGAGGTAAAATCTTGAATTAAAGATCTAAAAGGTACATAGATTAACAACAGTAAGAAATAATAAAAACAATAAAAGGTGCATGGTTTAACAAGCAATAATAAAAACAATAAGAGTAGTGTTTCTGTTTATAATTTATTCTTGCTATTATTATTATTATTATTATTCATAAGATAGAAAACCTTTTATTCTCAAAGTGCCCAAGAGATTTGTCGTATTGACTAATTGTTTTAAATAGAAAGAGTATTACCACTATTTCCAAATAACTATTTATATAATAATATAATAAAATATATGATAATAATGTTTAAAAATTATAATCGTTATTTTTAACAACATACATGGTTGCATCTCAATAAATTAATGTCATGGAAAAGTTCATTTATTTCAGTAATTCAACTCAAATTGTGAAACTCGTGTATTAAATAAATTCAATGCACACAGACTGAAGTAGTTTAAGTCTTTGGTTCTTTTAATTGTGAGGATTTTGGCTCACATTTAACAAAAACCCACCAATTCACTATCTCAACAAATTAGAATACTTCATAAGACCAATAAAAAAAAAATTTTAGTGAATTGTTGGCCTTCTGGAAAGTATGTTCATTTACTGTACATGTACTCAATACTTGGTAGGGGCTCCTTTTGCATGAATTACTGCATCAGTGCGGCGTGGCATGGAGACAATCAGCCTGTGGCACTGCTGAGGTGGTATGGAAGCCCAGGTTGCTTTGATAGCGGCCTTCAGGTCATCTGCATTGTTGAGTCTGGTGTCTCTCATCTTCCTCTTGACAATACCCCATAGATTCTCTATGGGGTTCAGGTCAGGCAAGTTTGCAGGCCAGTCAAGCACACCAACACCATGGCTAAATTTTGGTGCTTTTGGCAGTGTGGGCAGGTGCCAAATCCTGCTGGAAAATGAAATCAGCATCTTCAAAAAGCTGGTCAGCAGAAGGAAGAATGAAGTGCTCCAAAATTTCTTGGTAAACGGGTGCAGTGACGTTGGTTTTCAAAAAACACAATGGATGTGTTTGTTTGTTTGTTTGTTTGTTTGTTTTAAAGGTTTACACACTGTTTTATTGTTTTCCTGTTTGTTTTTTCTGCTTTCGTCTGAGTGGCTTGTTTCTTTGTAACGTTTGTAATCCATGTTTACTTGTTTACCGAATCCATTCTAGGTGTGTTTGAGTAACGTTAGTTGTCATTGTAACGGGTTTGTTATTATTACCCTGATTTTCCTTTAGTTGTAACGGCACTATAAAGTGAATTCAATCCCCAAGAAAGCGGCTGTCTCAAACAAGTGAACTGCCTTCCTAGACAGCATAAAGAGCCATACTGTCTAGTTAGGGAGTTCAGCTCAAAGTTGAACACTGTTACAAAGATTAGTTTCTGTTCATATTTATTTATTAAAAACTGCCACGTTAGTACTTCGTTTTTCGATATACCACTGTAATACCATGCTATTCATTGATTTTAATTGGGGCACCATATTAATACCAACATGAATATTTGAATCATTCAGCACAATTGTATATTTCAAAGTACCATGGTATTACAATATGATGTATGTGGTAATATGTAGTACTTCTTCATTACAAGCTGTTTTTGAAGTTAATTGGAGTACTATCATGTAAATGAATATGGTAATTGCTCAGTGCCATATTGTATATCTCAATGCCAAAGAAAGAAGTTACAAGATGGTATTCCTTTTCTTTAATTTAAGATTGGCATCATTCATAATCAGTGTCACTTACTGTTTTGTTTGCAGCATGTTAAATGTATAATATATGGTGGGCTTGTATGATGGATTCAGGTCTACTTCATTACAAATTCATATTTTTTTTTCTTTCTTTCATTGAACAGATTCGTCTGTAACAGATCTGGCTTGTATAAACCCCACAGTCCCACAGATTCAACTGGAAATCAGGGGCCCAGAATAACTGCGGGAATAAGGGGACTTGTGTATATATACTTAAAGCAGAGACATCAACAAGGATTCTGTCAGTGATCAGGACAGAGCTTCTTGGACGAGCCACGGCTAATATCGCTGGGTGTTGAGGATTAGATTCTCTCTCTATCTTGTCTCTAAACGGCCTGCAGGGTGGCGAGAGAGAGGGGGGAACCCAACCGGTGCATGCCGGAGATGAGTGCGTTCTGGCATAAGATCGGCTGCTGCGTGGTAGCCAAACCTCCTCCGGTAAGTGTCTCATTTGGAGAGATTTATAGTTTTATTTCCCAGGCTTCCATCATAAGGAATCTACATGAATCACAGGTACTGTGATATCAGGCTTCTTTTGAGAACAACATCTGGACTAATTTCATCAATTAGGCATTCCCTGTGGCTCATGCAAGCTTTGTGTTCGCTAATCACGCGAAGAATGACTCACGCTGGTCAAGGGCAGAAAAGAAACCTTTCAGCTGATGTGAATGTGACCCAGATAGTCTTAGGAGTTTGTCAGGAGTGCAAATGTGTTTTTGAGAGTGAAGCCAGACGTAAAACACAGATGGACAAAGAATGTTCTGTCATTGAACGGGTGAACGTGTAGAGGTATGGATCCAAACCACTTTGCATGTGAGGGAAGTCTGATAAATGTGCCCACACATGCATATTTCATTTTTTATCAAGAATATACTCTACAGTTCAAAAGTTTGGGGTCAGTAAGATTTTAAAAAAATAACTTTTATTTGGCAAGGATGCATTAAATTGATCAAACACAACATTATGAACATTTATAACATTGCAAACTATTTCTATTTCAAATAAATGCTGTTCTTTCAACTTTCAGTTCATTAAAATCCAGAAACAAATGGTTTCCGACATTTATTAATAAGAAATGTTTAAGCATAAAATCAGCTTATTAAAATGTTTTCTGAAGGATCATGTGACACTGAAGACTGGAGTAATGTCGAATATACTGAAATGCAAAATGGTTGTTTCGAATTGTAATAATATTTTGTGTTTTTGATCAAATAATTGCAGCCTTGGTGAGTATAAGAGACTTCTTTAAGATATAAAATAAAATAATTTTACCGACCCCAAACTTTTGAACAGTAGTGTATCATGTGATTATTCTTTTTTTAAGCTCAACCAAAAAATACAAATTTTCATCATTTACTCCCCCTCATGTTGTTACTAAACTGTATGACTGACTTTCTTAATTGGAACATAATAGGAGAAGTTTAACATGTTGACTCCTAAACTTCATACAATGAAATTAGTGACCATCATCTGTCAGACTCCAAAACAAAGAAAAAAGCACTATAAAAGTACTGCATATGACTCGCATACTATATCTTCCTATACTGTATTCATACCATCATCATCATATATATACTTTATTTGTCCCTTTAAGGGAAGTTTGTTTTGGGCAATACAGGTAAAAATATCTTGTATAATTGTATTATAGGAATACTATACTATAAGTTTTCTAAAGCCATATGAAGTTGCTTTTGTCTAAAATTGTTTTTTTAGCTCTCAAATCTCATTCATGTTTGTGCATATTCAAATGTGGCACCACAAAATGCGTTGTACCATGTTTGACCTCAACAAGTTACTGCTTCTTGCACATCTTGATCATGATGTGGCAAGTTTGAAAAGCAGTTTTATTTGAATAATGACTTAAATATCGGTCTGTTCCTTACACAAAATAATTGCATGGCTTTTAAAGACTTTGAATGTAGAGCATGAGTCATATGGATCTCTTTATGGCGCTTTTATGATTCTTTTTGGCGCATGACAGTCCCTGGCGGTCTACTTTCATTTCATTGGAAAATCCCAAGTTTGGACGTTCAGACATTCTGCTAAACATCTCCTTTTGTATTGCATGAGCAAAAGGAAGTCAGAGTTTGCTAAATGATAGCAAAAATTAATTTTGGGTTGGACTTTCCCTTTAATATTCCTGTAAGTAAAAGAATCATGTTTATGTTTCTAGAATAGCTTTGCGTATTTGACAAATTAGTGGTTTAATTCAGTCTTTGTTAGTCAGTTTGTTTTCATCTGGATTGAGGTTCTGAGCCAGTGATGAGTGACCCAGGTTTACCATGGTCTCCTGTAACAATGACAGGGGGTTCTGAAGGGAAGCTGGCTCCTCCGAGCTGGGAGTGCTCATTCTTTTCCTCCCTCCTTCCTCTTATTATTTTTAGGTTCTTGTTTGTTCTATTGTTGGGTGGGGGGTGAGGTCAGACAACAGTGGGCATCTGTAACAGACCAATGCTACTTCCCAGTGCAAGAGCAATTTTCTTCAACTGATTTAGATCAAATGATTCTGTTTAAAGTGTCTCCTTACATCAGAGAAGGTGATAAGGACTAAAGCATGTGCCAAGGGTTTGCTATGATATGGGCCATTGACTATACAAAGATTATGAAAATAAACACCTTCAAGGATGTCTGGAGTTACATAAGACATGTTGCATTCGAAAAACTAAATTTAACTTGTAACTGTTTTCAACCTGAAAAGCTTGGTCCAGAGCAGAAAAATACGAAGAGCTTTCTTTCTTTCTTTCTAAGTAATAATAAATATAATATTCTTTCTAAATAATAATTAATGGCAATATATCTAATGAACACTTTGAGGTAAAATCTTGAATTAAAGATCTAAAAGGTACATAGTTTAACAACAGTAAGAAATAATAAAAACAATAAAAGGTGCATGGTTTAACAAGCAATAATAAAAACAATAAGAGTAGTGTTTCTGTTTATAATTTATTCTTGCTATTATTATTATTATTATTATTCATAAGATAGAAAACCTTTTATTCTCAAAGTGCCCAAGAGATTTGTCGTATTGACTAATTGTTTTAAATAGAAAGAGTATTACCACTATTTCCAAATAACTATTTATATAATAATATAATAAAATATATGATAATAATGTTTAAAAATTATAATCGACTTCAGTCTGTGTGCATTGAATTTATTTAATACACGAGTTTCACAATTTGAGTTGAATTACTGAAATAAATGAACTTTTCCACAACATTCTAATTTATTGAGATGCACCTGTACATAAATTAAAAAGAAATATTTATAGTCCTATTTTATGTAAAATTGTACCTCATATTTTTCATTAGATTTGTCGTATTTCATTATATTGAGCTTATTGCTATTATTTAGAAATAAGTAACTATTTATGTAATAATAATCTTGACATTAAAAACATTATTATTATTATTAGTGATAGTAATTTTAACACCAACCAAACGATCTGAACACTGACATCAAATAAACTCTGGTCCGTTTCAAAAACTAGTGTAAGATTTGAGGTAAATCTAGAAGATATATTTGATGATTGACAATATAAATCCAGTGCTATATGTTGTGTAAAATGCACTTTGTTCACTCTGGACAGACAAGTAATGGCTCGTATGCCAACACCCCTGCTATGGCACATGATCTCATCAAATAATTATTCTGGTTGTTGATACAAAGATTTTTTTTTTTTTTAGATTTACTTATATAATCTCTGACTAACTCTACTGCATAGTTATGGGAAACCAAGAAAAGAAACTGTGAACTGTACAACAATTAGGGATTTTTAGGAACTCTATGAAGAATGCTGCTCATCTTCAGGATGCATCCAGGAATAGATTCCATAGGGAAACATTAGTGTAATATCACCCAGGCACTGGTGTGGTTGTTGTATGGTCACATGACAGGCTTCTTTGAGCTCACTCACTACACTTCGATTTTCAACACCTTTGGATTACATCATGCTGTTTCACCAATCTGCCAATCAAGTGCTTTGCATCTTTATGCTGGACCTTTGTCAATTTAAGCCTCTATGTTCACAGAAGAAGAAACGGAGGAGAATTGACCGCAGCATGATCGGAGAGCCCACAAACTTCGTTCATCTGACACACATAGGCTCTGGTGAAATGGCAGACGGCATGCAACCGGTAAGACATGTTTTATTACGTTGGTACAGTGGGACTCCCTCATTTTAATGTTTATGGCATGGCTATAATTAATTTACAATGACCGAACAAATGCTTCTGCATGCATTCTTTACTAAACCTCTGAATAATACAGGATTATGCACAGGCACATATTAAAAATCCAAAGAAGGATGCTGGGATTTTTGTAAAAATATACCTGGCACCCACTACCAGACCTTTTGGAAATCCCTGTTGTTTTTCTTTTGCCCTCTTTCCCTTTCAATTTTGCCCTCAAATCTGCTGTGCCTACCAGTTGTCTGAACAAGTCATGTTTAAAGGGGTAGTTCACCCAAAAATTAAAATTCTGTCATTATTTACTCACCTTCATGTCGTTCCAAACCCGTAAGACCTTTGTTTATCTTCAAAACACACATTAAGATTTTTTTTATGAAATCAAAGAGTTTTTTGACCATGCAAGAGAAGAATTGTTGAATAAAGTCGTTATTTTTGTTTTCTTTGCACACAAAGTATTTTCATAGCGTCATAGAATTACGGTTGAACCACTGATGTCACATGGACTATTTTAATGATGTCCTTACTACCTTTCTGGCCTTGAACATGGTAGTTCCCTTGCTTTCCATGCAGGGTCAGAAAGCTTTTGGATTTCATCAAAAATATCTTAATTTGTGTTCCGAAGATGAACGAAGGTCTTACAGGTTTGGAACGAAATGAGAGAGTAATTGATGACAGAATTTTCATTTTTGGGTGAATATTTATTATTATGATGTAAAGGTATTCTAAAGTGTCAAATTAAAAAAATCAAATGCATGTTTGAGTAAGGTAGACATGCTGCGTGTGTAAGATGTGATCTTAGCTCATGTTCATTGGGCTGTTGTGTTGTCAAATAAGAAGGCGAGGCGTTACCTAATCCTGCAGCTCACGGAGGGACTGAATACCTGGGCAGAATCAAGCAGACTGCAACTTGCTCAGAGGAATGTTGGCAGGCGGCCCGTCAGGGACAGAATAGAGACCTTTAAATGAGGAAATGTTCGTCAAGGTCTTTGCAGTGGTCACTGATTGATTTTTAAATGGCAATCTACAGCTTCATGTGTGGTTTGCAAAATGTACAGCTCTTAGTGGAGTCAACACCTTTTTAAGAAATGAGCTTTTTAGTCAGTGGTGGCTTTAGTAGTTTTATCAAAGCAAAAGCTGGACCTGTTAACAATGCAGCGCTGATAGCTGAAACCTCCAGTGATAAGCGGTATTGGTTGATATCAGCCTTTCATAGTCCATGTGATGAACACAGGTGACCGACCTGCTGGCTTTTCCCTTGTGGTTCTGTTCTTTTGTGTCATGCTGGGAAGTTGTGTATAGAATGACCCAGTGAAATGGACTTCCTCCTCGTTCTGCTGTGAGAAGCAGTGTTCCTGAGACACATGATGTAACAATGGGTGTGACGCTGTGAAGAGCTCTGTATGTGTGAAACAGGCTTGTTGTTGCATGAAGGATTTTTCAGCCCCACCTCTTGAAGTGTGAATTTATTTTACAGTTTGTACATCATGCAGCAATCCAGTCTTTCTATTTAATGAACACTATTCCATATAAAAAACTTAATTTGCAGAGATGACACTCCTTATTTTCAAATTGTATTATTATTATTGTTGTTGTTTTAGTTGTTGTATTAATATTAATCCTATTATTATTACTGAATATTATTGTTATTATTATAGTAATGCAATAAGAAAATATAGTATGATGTTGATGACATTATTAGTAGTAGTCATGTTTGCCATATAAAGTATTTATTGTGTAAATACTAGTACTAAAATTATATTTAATTAACAAATTATTATTATTAATTAATTAATAAATAGCATTTGTTGTTGCTCTATTAATGTTATCATAATTTAAAAGTAATAAGTAAAGAAATATTATAGTAATGGTAATATGGTGACGATATTAGTAGTAGTAGTAATTTTTACTATATAAAGTATTATATGTAAATGAAATACAATTTTAGTACTATATACATATTTAAATTGTATTTATTATTGCTATTATATATAATTAAATATAAATAATGTCATGATATTATATGATTAAATATAAATAATAGTAATGATGATATTATTTTAATATTCCTATAATGATTTTTAATTTTTACTTATTTTTTACTTGTGTATATATTATTCTTCTATGCTTCTTTAATAGCAGTAATATTCAATAAATGCTCTTTTGTTTGACTTAGATGGAAGTTTTGAAGTCTGAAAGTTAGTTTTTTCCTAGTATATCAGATTATTTGACCTCAAATATCTTAATTTGTGTTCCGAAGATGAACGAAGGTCTTACAGGTTTGGAACGAAATGAGAGAGTAATTGATGACAGAATTTTCATTTTTGGGTGAATATTTATTATTATGATGTAAAGGTATTCTAAAGTGTCAAATTAAAAAAATCAAATGCATGTTTGAGTAAGGTAGACATGCTGCGTGTGTAAGATGTGATCTTAGCTCATGTTCATTGGGCTGTTGTGTTGTCAAATAAGAAGGCGAGGCGTTACCTAATCCTGCAGCTCACGGAGGGACTGAATACCTGGGCAGAATCAAGCAGACTGCAACTTGCTCAGAGGAATGTTGGCAGGCGGCCCGTCAGGGACAGAATAGAGACCTTTAAATGAGGAAATGTTCGTCAAGGTCTTTGCAGTGGTCACTGATTGATTTTTAAATGGCAATCTACAGCTTCATGTGTGGTTTGCAAAATGTACAGCTCTTAGTGGAGTCAACACCTTTTTAAGAAATGAGCTTTTTAGTCAGTGGTGGCTTTAGTAGTTTTATCAAAGCAAAAGCTGGACCTGTTAACAATGCAGCGCTGATAGCTGAAACCTCCAGTGATAAGCGGTATTGGTTGATATCAGCCTTTCATAGTCCATGTGATGAACACAGGTGACCGACCTGCTGGCTTTTCCCTTGTGGTTCTGTTCTTTTGTGTCATGCTGGGAAGTTGTGTATAGAATGACCCAGTGAAATGGACTTCCTCCTCGTTCTGCTGTGAGAAGCAGTGTTCCTGAGACACATGATGTAACAATGGGTGTGACGCTGTGAAGAGCTCTGTATGTGTGAAACAGGCTTGTTGTTGCATGAAGGATTTTTCAGCCCCACCTCTTGAAGTGTGAATTTATTTTACAGTTTGTACATCATGCAGCAATCCAGTCTTTCTATTTAATGAACACTATTCCATATAAAAAACTTAATTTGCAGAGATGACACTCCTTATTTTCAAATTGTATTATTATTATTGTTGTTGTTTTAGTTGTTGTATTAATATTAATCCTATTATTATTACTGAATATTATTGTTATTATTATAGTAATGCAATAAGAAAATATAGTATGATGTTGATGACATTATTAGTAGTAGTCATGTTTGCCATATAAAGTATTTATTGTGTAAATACTAGTACTAAAATTATATTTAATTAACAAATTATTATTATTAATTAATTAATAAATAGCATTTGTTGTTGCTCTATTAATGTTATCATAATTTAAAAGTAATAAGTAAAGAAATATTATAGTAATGGTAATATGGTGACGATATTAGTAGTAGTAGTAATTTTTACTATATAAAGTATTATATGTAAATGAAATACAATTTTAGTACTATATACATATTTAAATTGTATTTATTATTGCTATTATATATAATTAAATATAAATAATGTCATGATATTATATGATTAAATATAAATAATAGTAATGATGATATTATTTTAATATTCCTATAATGATTTTTAATTTTTACTTATTTTTTACTTGTGTATATATTATTCTCATAATTCAATGCTTCTTTAATAGCAGTAATATTCAATAAATGCTCTTTTGTTTGACTTAGATGGAAGTTTTGAAGTCTGAAAGTTAGTTTTTTCCTAGTATATCAGATTATTTGACCTCACTTGAAGTTTGAAATTTTACTTTGACCACTTTAAGACTTGGATCATATCAATGGAAATCTTACTGGACTACTAAAAGTATAGTTGTTGTGTTTGTTAAAGTGGACTTATTGTTAATAAAAGTTAAAGTTTTTCCATGCCAATAACCTGATTGTCACTTCCTTTTGCAGTCTGGCCCAATGCAGGAACAAATGAGATCCAAAGTGCCTCATGCTAATGGACGAAACAGCTTGTTGTTATAGCCTCTTCACCAGTGAGTATGAACGCACACCTTCCTCTTCCTCTCCATCCTCTCACATGCACTCCTATTTAACCACAGACCTTCATCTGTTCCCCAGACTTTTTCATTTTTTTCCTCAAAGCTCCGTAAAGTGTCCTAAGCAGAACCTGTCCGGCTAGCAGCACTGTACCAATGAGGAGGAGATAAAGAGCAGATCCCGATCACAAAAACAACAACCTCCGTGCTGCAGCTACCAACATGGACGCCACCTCTGCAGGTTTTATATCTTTTGGATCCTCTGGAATGTCTCAGAGGAGACTTGACCCCACCCCCCCACTCTAAGACTGTTATTACATTTAGACCGGATTGTGTAAGAACGCCTGACAAAGTGTGTGAATGTGTGACGTGTGCGTTTGAGACACTGCCTGTGCTTGCTGTGGAAGAGGACAGGCTCTTATCGCTTTAACACAGGGGACTATTTGACTGCCTTCCCAAAGTTATAACTGGCATGTTTGTCATAGTCGTTGATAAGGATGTGCACAAGTGTGTGTTTGCTTTTGTTTTGTAATGGAAATATATGTGCACCTATACCATTATAGTGTCTCCAACTGCTTGTCATTAACAATTGCACAGATTAGTGTATTATACAAAGCTGTCTGATATGTGTATAGTAGAAAGATGTAGTATGAAAATATTTCTTTTTTTTTTTATGTCCGCTTGTTTGATATTGCATGAACAAATAATGCCTAATGGCCTTAATAACTCTAAAGGAATAGTTTTAAAAATTACTAAAATAAAAATACTCATTCACCAAGTCATTTCAAACACACACACTCTTACAAATATTGGTGCTTCACGATACCATAGAAGAACCTTTTTGTCTGGTTCCACAAAGAACCTTTAACATCTGAAGAGCCTTTCTGTTTCACAGAAGGTTCTTTGTGGCAAATGAAGGTTCTTCAGATTGTAAAAGGTAAGAAAGAGATGGATCTTTAAAGAACCTTTGACTGAATGGTTCTTTGTGGAACCGAAAATAGTTCTTCTATGGCATCGCTGTGAAGAACTTAAGCACCCTTATTTTTAAGAGTAGGCCTATACGTTTTTTTTTCCTGTGATTATTAGTACAACATCAATGCATAGTGATATAATGTATAAGCTATAAAAAAAATCCAAAAGGGCACCATAATGGTGGTCCATATTCAAAGTTTTCTGAAGTTTTACATTTGCTTTATGTGAGGAACAGACCAAATTTATGTCATTATTCACTGATAATCATCCCCTCAAGTGAACTGTTAACATGAGAACTGCATGCTACAGAAATATTTAGTCAATAGTCTGGAAAGCAATAATACGGCATCAAGACCACTTGGATTTTTGAGGACCATATTTGGTGCTTTTTTTATTATTTGAATTTTTTGGAGAGCGTCTTAACAGGCACTATTGTAAAAAAAATAAATTCTTTAAAAATTTCTCCACTGTAAAAAAAAAATAATAATAAAAAAGTTTGAAATGACATGAGGGTTGAGTAAATAATTTTTATTTTAGGTGAATTATTCCTTTAATCCATAAGTATTAAAAAAAGGCTATTATCTGAGTGGAGACTTTGAACGGCGGCTTCCTGCCAGCAGCGAGCTACTGCCCTTTGTCATTTAAACATCACATTCACACATCAAGCTCCACCCCACACCAGCTCAAACACACGCTCTCTGTTTCCAGTCCTCACACACGGCACCATGATTAAATCACTGATTTACACACACTTTGTATACTTTACTCTGTCTGTACTTTGTTTTTGAATGCAGCTCAATGTAGCACAAAGTTGGGCTGAAATGTTAAACACGATGTTTTTGCTTAGAATTGTGATGTTTTATTTCAAAGGCATTGCTTTGCAAGATCCCAAACTGTAATTTACTTTGTGTTTGCTGTAATTTGTTGGGAAATGTCATAGGAAAAAATGTACGTAGCGAATGCTTTCAGATTGTGCATGTTGCTTTTGAATGTTTTAGAGTATTTTTTTAGTGGGAATGCATTTCATTCTTAGCTGACAGTATAGAGAAACGTGCAGATGTTTGCATCTCTGCCAAAGATCTCGACAGCTCCCTTAACTTAATTATACATGTTGCTTGCAGATTTTCTCACTTTTTGGTTTTATGTGACTGTTTGCCCATTTTTTTTTAAGCATCTGTCTTATTTTTTTTAAAGCCATAATGTTTGTGCAAAGCACTCATTAGGCTCTTTTTGTCTTTAATGCTTTTCTTTTTATTCTTTACTTTTTTGAGTCTATTAGTTCAACTGATTGATTTTGTTTAAATGGGAGCAGTAATAGTGTTCTGTTCATATGGCATGGTGTTATGTTGTTGATGAATCCTTTTGTGTTTTGGTTTGTAACAATACAGTTGTACAAAGAGCAAACTGTTGTTTGTTTTAATTGAGATATAGATAGTAATATTATCTAAAGCGTATAAAAAAAAGCTCTCGGTATAATTTGAATATATTAACCAAATCTTAAAAAAAAAAAACTAATTTATTTTTATTTTTACTGTAAATAACATTATCATTTTACTTTGCTCTTTGCTTTGTGTTTGCATGCCTATAATAGAAACTCTAATTCATATTTTTCTAATTCAATTTTGAGGGGAAAAAACAAGTCAGGAATTGCAAGATGTAAACTCAGAATTCTGACTTTGTAACTGAATTCTAAGTTTACATCCCACAATATTTTTTTTTCTGCCACGGAATAAAAAATAAAAAAGATAGTTGTGAGACTTTTTTTCTCACAATTCTGACCTTTTTCTCCGTTGCGAGAGGAAAAAGTCAAAATTGCCGTTTTTATTCTGTGACGGAAACAAGCTTCCATGGCTGGAAAAAGGTGCGCAGGTGCTTTTACAGTTTAGATGCTCCTAACTATTACAATAAATATGTATTTAAAGGGGTCATATGATGAAAATTGAAAAATTGAACGATTTTCAATTTTTGCTTTCTCTTTGGAGTGTTACAAGCTCTTGGTGCATAAAGAAGATCTGTAAAGTTGCAAAGACTAAAGTCTCAAATCCAAAGAGATATTCTGTATAAAAGTTGTCAACCACGCCTACCTAAAATGGCTCATTCTAACACGCCCCCACATGTCTACGTCACTATGTGGGAAGATTTGCATAACACCGCACAAATGTTCACACAAAGAAAGGCGGCGTAACTTTTATTCTCGCTGTAGTATTGTTGTTGCAGCCGCCATGTCGTGAAGACGCTGTGTGCTTCATTGTGAAAGCGAAACGACTTTGTTTGGCCTTCCAAAAGAGGACGAAATCTGCTTCGTCATGGCTGGAGCTGATCCGTGCTGGTCGCTGAGGAAATACAACAACTTTGCGCTGTGGATCACCGGATCGGCTTTCACCGTGGATGAAGCGGAGTCCAGCCCGGGGCCGTCACATGTGGTTGCTGCAAGCCTCCTTCGTCGAATCCGCCAGCCGTGCCGTTCTCAAGCCCGCAGCCTCTGCTCACTCTAGGCCGCCGTGTGTGACGCCGTTTCATTGTGAAAGCGAAACTACTTTGTTTGGCCTTCCAAAAATGGACACGACTTTGAAATCAGTGGTTAAGTTGTATTTACAACACTGTTCCAGAACACTTCAACCCAAATATTCAGATGCGTGCAGCACATTTTATGAAGGACTGTTTCCTGATCCTGGTAGAGTAGACTACAGTGCCGGCTGTTCTGACTCACAGATTGTAAGTACGTTTTTTATATTTAAAGAGTTTTTATATTTTATATTTTTTATATTTAAAGCGAGTTTTTTGGGCAGTGTAGAGTAGGGCTTGTTGTTTGTCATTTCTCTGATCACAAATGCAGACATGGTTTTATGTTTACGCGGCGCGATGCAACGCAACATCGGGGAGGAGTGTTTCGGCACTGGCACAATGGATGTGGACTTAAAGCATGTTGGCACAGTTGCTTGGGTGAGGGACAGGTTGAAAATGTCTGTGAAGACCCCTGCGAGCTGCTCTGCACATGCCCTAA